AGAGAGAGAGAGAGACTCTCCGAGTTTTGCTTTACCTCTACTTCTCTCAAGCCTAAAACCCTGAGATTTCCATAATTTTTTATTTAAATCTATAGCGACAAGGCATTTGATGATTGTCATTTGGAATAAAAAGTCTCTTTTTTTTTTTTTATAACTTATTTCCTCATTTCGCATTTATATTATAAATTGTAAACTTGAAAATTGTAATGCGATTGTACCTTTATGTTTGTGCCTTTTGGGATGACTGTAATTTGTAATATGGTCCTTTGGGTGGAGGATTTATTTATTTTTGGAGCCGGAGTGGATTTTTAGATGAGTAATTGAGATTTCTTAGCTTGTTAATCAGTTTTTCAGTATGGATGATTGATATAATTGCAAAACGGAACTATATTTTAGATTTTTGGTATTTTAATTAAAAAAAATAAATTTAAAGACATTAATATAATACATGAATATCAAAACTAGAAGCATTAAATAAGAACAAATAATAAAAAAGCACACAAGTAAATTATTCGTGAATTGCCAATTTGAGATAACCATTTAGTTAAGGTAAGCCAAAAAAAGGGAGTGGGTAAATAGAAAACAGATAAAATTTCAAAAACTATTATAAATGATCAATAACCCACGTTACTAACTTTAGTAATTATTACTTGGGTTACTCAACAAAGGCCAAAATCAATACACATGATGAAACAATCCCAAACAGAAACTGATACCTAAAATACTCAGTTTTTCGTTTGTTTAAATACCCAAAGTTGGAATCATGATACTACGATTCTAAAGAAGTCCAACATTAGAGCGCATTTCGAATCTCCCATATTGCTACAACTGTGTAAGTGTTTATAGAGAACTTTAGCTTAAGCACCAAAGTATTTCTCTTTATTTTATTTTTTCTATACTCAAAAGGACAAAATTAGGAAATTGATTGGTCGGAAAGTGACTATGGTGAGGGGATAATGGCGAAGGGTTGATAGGATGAGAAGGCCATTGTTGCGCCGTGTTGGGACGATAAATTTGAGATAGCTATCATGACCGGACAGGACAGGCGGGCCGGACACGAAGCTAGTGGTCCCACCGGTCAAACTCTTGGTTCTGGACCAGTATGACATCGAACCAAAGAATACAAAGCTTAATGTAGTGAACTCGCTAGTTTGACTGGTGTAGACTGGAACATCCACTCCTTACACCATAATAAAATCTTTCCATGACGCACAAATTCTATAAGGCTATACCTCAACAATGTCTTAGGATGATAAATCCCTCTCCCCCTTGCACCGCATGTCAATTTACATGCCTTGGGCTCCAAAGGAACATGGCCTAGCAAACCCACATCAAAGAGATTTGAGAAGTATAAACAACGGCAGCAGAGAGAAGTGAGATGGTCAACAAATCCTTCATCTACTGATGGAAGAGTACATTTTGCATTTCCACAAAAAAATAATGAGATTTCCTTGCTTTTAAGTTTTAATAATGGATTCGACGTAGCCTTCTCTCTCGTTAATGAAAAGTCTTATTGACCACAGTAACGAAGCAAGTAGGGCCTTTTTCTACAAGGCTATACCTCACCATTGTCTTAGGAATGTAAATACCCCTCCCTTGCACCCCCTGTCGATTTCCACGCCTTAGGCTAACAAATAACATGGCCCAGCAAACCCACATCAAATTTGAGAAATATAAACAAAAGCAACAGAAAGAAGTGAGAGGGATAAGAAATCCTTGATCTACTGATGGAACGGTACATTCGGTAATTCACTAATAAAATAATGATATTTCCTAATTCTTTTGAGTTTTAATAATGGATTCTTTATATCCTGCTCTCACTTCATGCATAAGACTTAATAGACCACAATAATGAACCAATGAGGACCTTTTTCCTTCTCAACCTTGCTTTCACATCTTTCTGAGATGCTCATTCACAATAATAAGTCAAACATCTAAAATTCCTATTAAACTTCTTTATGAATCGATAAAATATTCTCATGCACTTAATATTTTGTCAAAGAAAGACAATTGATAACGTACAAAGTGTGTCAAGTGGGGAAGTGAAGATTAACATTTATAGGAGCAGCAGGCTCCTCTTAACGCTCGCAATTATTTAGCAGATGCAAACCAGAGACGAGGTACTAAGAAGAACTAAGAACAAGACCTGCATGGGATGTTTTTCAGTCTATTTTGGAATTTTTTTCAGTTTATTTTCTGTTTAGTTTTAATTTCTTCTCTTTTGTGGTTGAGTGAGGGATATTCTATGTATTTTACTTTCAGTCAGGGGCTTATTTAAAATTACTTTTAAGTTAGGACTGATTATTTTGAAATTTAAACAAGGGGCCTTATGGACTTTTGTGGTTAAGTTGGGACTATTTAGTTAATTTCATTTTGGCTAAGGTTATTTTTGGGCTTTGTACCCCAGTTAAATAAAGGGGGATGAAAATCATTCATGTGCGATGGTCATTCACTATAATAAGTCAAACATCCAAAATTCCAATTAAACTTCTTTATGAATCGATAAAATATTCTCATGCACTTAATATTTTGTCTGGGAAAGGCAATTGATAACGTACAAAGTGTGTCAAGTGGGGAAGTGAATATTAACATTTATAGGACCATTAGGTTCATCCTAACACTCACAATTATTTAGCAGACGCAAACCAGATATGAGGTACTAAGAAGAACTAAGAACAAGACCGGAGTGGGATGTTTTTCAGTCTATTTTGGAATTTTTTTCAGTTTATTGTCTGTTTAGTTTTAATTCCTTCTATTTCGTGGTTGAGTGAGGGACATTCTATGTATTTTACTTTAAGTCAGGGGCTTATTTAAAATTACTTTAAGTTAGGTATGATTATTTTAAAATTTAAACAAGGGGAATTATCGACTTTTGTGGTTAAGTTGGGACTATTTAGTTAATTTCAGTTTGGTTAAGGTTATTTTTGGGCTTTGTACCCCTGTACCCCAATTAAATAAAAGGGGATGAAAATCATTCATGTGAGCTATAGAGGAAAGGAAAACGGGAGCCTTCCCATGAAGTGCTACTTAGTATTTTGTGGGAAGGAAACCTAGGTTTCCTCCAACCTGTGCTTGTGCTTGTGCTTTACTTGGAATTTGTTTTTGTTTTCCTTTTCAAATCCCTCCATCAATTGGTATCAAAGCATGGTTGAAAGATGGTTAGAGATTGTAATGGCTGGTCATGGAGGTTTTGGCCATACGAATAACGGTCTGATCTGATTGCATAAGAAAATCAACATCTTAAAAGAGAGGGTTACACAGCTGCTATGCGAGAGAGCTCATCAACAGTGTGCCCCAAACAAAGAGGAATTTACTGGGTTGGATCCAAATCGTGAGGGTTTAGATTTTTATGGCTAGAGCTCGAGTTAGTGTGGGAACAAACCAGTGACGTGTCAAATTACATAGATGGGTTCGATACACGATGGAATCCATAGGAGCATAATCTTGAAGAACAAAAAGAATCCAATCCTCAATTGGATTCAATATTCTATGAATTAGGGAATTGTCGCATCTTTGATAGTGCTTGTATCTTTGATAATGATCATAAAGAACTGGGTGAGAGTGACAAAACTGTTCCGAGAACAATGGGAATGTTTGGTTTCTGAGCTCCTGAAGTTGTAATGAGAACGATGTTGATGGTGGTGGTGAATAGGTAAAAGATGATAAGGTTGATGGAAGAGACTACAAAAAGCTCCTTTGTCTCACCAATGGTGGTGCTAACCCTTCCAAAGGCTTTCAACCATAGATGCATGCTGCTAATGTTGTCTGCGTCCATGCGTCCAAACCCTTAACAATTTGATCGAAGATATTTTGACTGAGCCCATAACTTAGCGGTCCAAGGATCAAGTAGCAATGTCGATGTCCAAGTTTCTGCTTGGAGAATATCATGGGTTTAGCAGAGGATTCATTAGCTTAGCCTATTTCAAAACTCGAAAATCAGTTCTCTCCAAGTAGGGGAGTACTATGCAAATCAAACAAAGCCGAATTCGAAATTTATTTTATCTATCAATGTCAGGGACATGCATAGGCTTCAAATTATTGTTATGGGGATTAATAGCTTTTGGGAGACTAAAAAGGTATTTTACTTCATTTCTTAGGTAGGATCTATATGGATCTCAAAAATTGGTGTAGTAGTCCACTTTTGGTGACGTGAACTTCCTTAGTTTAACCTATTTTTAAGGGATAAAGGAGATTTCCTAGCTTTGAGGGATTTAATGGAGATATATATGAAAGTAGGTCAGCTAGAGAGGCAAAGAAATTTACTTGAGTTTTTAATTTTTGTTTTATTTTTTTTAGAAGTCTTGTACTAAAAGGACTTGGATGTCCCATTTAGAGACTTATGTTATTTTCGACAGATTCTCTTGGGTTGATTCATAGCCTTAGTTATCTTTTTTAATGTTGTTCTTTTTTGCTTGTTTTAGGATCGAAATGAGGGTGGATTTCATTTCCTACCGTGTCTTCCTGCATCAACAACCCAGTCATTACATTCCTAATAATGCACTTCTTGGTAGCAAATATTGAAGTTGAATTTTCTCAAGAACAATTGAAGAGTTGGCATAGTCCTTCAAGATAAGTTTGGGCAAGTCGAATGTTTCTAGACATCCCTATGTATACACAAGCATTGGCAATGATTGATCATTCGGTAGATCACAAGGGTTTTCCAAATTTACAATAATTGACCTTTTATTAAGAATGTGATATTATGCAGTAAAGGACTAGTTGCTGAAAAGAAAATGAGAACATCCTAGGACATGCTTGGTGTATATGTAAAAGAACTGGATGTCAAGAACAGGAAGTGAACGAATTTGAAGATGACCCTACCAAGTAAAGTATAGCATGATCTCTTAATTTAAAAACTTAGTCTTTCAGATAGAAAATCAGACACTAGGATCCCACCCAAGGTGGCGCTCCTGCAGTTGGGAAGCAGGAAAACTTCCCATACTTTGGTTGTTTGGCAGGTTTCATTGTACAAAATACACAATGCATCTCAATATAATTTTTGGTTTTTAAAGAAAGATCAATACTTTCATTCTAGACAAAATTTGAAAGAGAACTAGGGGTTGAAATCAATCAATTATTTTTTAAAAATATATATTATTTCTAATTATGGATGCTCCCATTAGGGAGATTCTGGCAAACAATGATACCCCACTCCCGATCCTACTCCCACTCCTAACAACTATGACCAACTTGCTTCCTCACATGGTTTTTTGGTACTGTAAGCCTTCAATTATTTACAAGGGTTCAAGGATGCTTTCAGATATTATTTTCCAACTTTTAACAAAGGAAAATAAATAATAAAAGCAGAAAAATGTATCATCTATGCTCAGCATACACCACACCGCAAATTTAACTTAATGTACTAATCTTTCATTCAAAGAAAAATGACACGAGAAAAGGAAAAATAATAAAGAAGACCACTTATAAACTTATACTAGAGATACAAAGTGCATAGACAAGTGCCAGTATATACCAGAGCATTCAAGATTTGCTTGCTTAATCCTCAAAATATTTCTCTCAACATTTCTCATCAGCAAAGGCAGTACTTCCTTCTGGTCTGTTGAAATAACGTTGCAACCTAGGAGTGCCATGCCTAAAAATGGTGTAACAAGCGTCAACAGAAAGATACGGACAACTGTTATATATTTTGAAGAAAACACTAATGTTAGACACATTAAGATCACTTGCGACTAATGTTTGCTACATTACGTTCACCGTGATGTTAACGAACAAGTAAGCATACCAAATCCTGCCAGTCCACAGCCAGCCCCAAGCTCAATAGCTCGTTTACCCTTCAATTTATTCAGGCAAAACTGACCCTTTCTGCAGTTCCTTTCCTGAACCGGTACAATAAGATCTCAAAATCAAATTACAATATAAGATTTTTCAAAATCAAATTACAATATAAGATAAAGACCAAAAAACTTTTGCATATGTTAGTAAATCATAACTAAAAAACCAACCAAATATAATAACAGGCTTTCGACATATTAAAACAACTAATAAAAAAAAATTGGAAAGAAACTAGTATCCCACACACCAAAAAAAGTTCCATATCACTGATGCCAAATAAGAGGGGTCATCACTTCAGCTATTTTATAGGGATTGCAGCTAATCTATTTATCACATAAAGAAAGCATCAATGTCATAACTTTGCATTCTCTTCCCGTGCCAGTTTTCCAAGTTATCATGACTACCCTCACAAATGATGTGCAATGACTGGAGAGAGAGATTTCCATCAAATCCCAATACAACAAAGAAACATGGAACATAAACATTTGGTTAAGTCAAACTTCATGCGACCCACTTGGCCATTTTCTCACAAAGGAACAAAGTCTGTAAGGATCTTTGTCAATTTAATTGTTGATGCCAGGCCACAAAAATGTGCTCTTCTTATTTGTTGAATTTCATACAAAGATATGTTTGATATAAATGTACGCTTACCGACTATGAAGCAGAAAAAATGTGGCATGGCAATAGAAAGTGAGATTTCAGAACTGTAGCCAGTAATTGGGTACACGGTGAGGACAAGATGACAATTAACGACTCAAAAGATGTTGCACATGGGCTGAATGCGCAAAATAGCCATTTTACCATTCATCCAACAACAAGCATCAAGTGATCTAAATAGAACACAAAGATATTTGAGAATTCAGAATTCAAACCACAAGGAAAGCCATAACAAACATTAACCATGATGCGTTGACAACATGTTTGTTGCATGTAGCAAGAACAGGAATAACATGTGCAACGGAACAGCAGTTATTAGAACAGAAGTACCTTTGTAAAGACTGAGAAACATACAGCTGTGCAATGATGCTGCGCCAAGGAAGCTCTAGTTCCCCTTCATCATTGGCATTTTTACACTTGATATATCAAAAGTTTGCATACACCCTTTTGGTTCCATGAGAGAGAAAAACAAGAACTTGACCCCTCCCTTTCATTAAGAAATCCTATTGCATAAAGCATCTAAATCTAAAATGACATTCAAGAGAGCGACTTAACTTGAAACACCCTTCTATAGCTTTTCAAAATCTCAATGACATTGCTAAAACCGAAACAATGTTAAAGCGAGGAATGGGGCACATTATTTGGTGAGCATGGTGTTGACAATTGTAGCATGGCATCCTAAGTTTGAATCTATTGCCAACATCCAAAAGGAGTGAGAGTAGTCCAACTAAGAACTATCTCCTTGCACAACATACTCATCTCACTTTCAAATATCCAGATGTTCTACCATATCTTCTATTCAAATCACATAAAAAATTTCCCTAGACATTCTCTCTCTTTTTAAAGTCAAACACCCTTGATATTCTATATGATTTTTTATATGCATTACATTCCTCTCCTCCAAGTACACATCCTCTATTTTATCATTGAAAGTAGGACTATGTGACCCGAGTAAGATCTCATCCATTCATTCTTTAGATCAGTCATCATGATTAAAAGGAATGAGCTGGAAGAATTATCCCGCAGTTTCCATAACTCTATTCCCATAAAATAGTGTAGAGAAAAATACTATATTTTTGCAAATCAATTTCAATTAATGTCTACACTTTCTTATTTAAAATCAAACAAAATCTCTACACAACACTTTCCTTAAATTTTAAACAAGTGGATGTCTTAATAAACAAGCCATAGTCTTGGATGTCTTAATACACAAGCCATGTCTTAATTAAGAAAAGCTTCAAATAGTTGAGCTAAGATGCAGATAGACCATGAAAGAATGATGCCTAGAGGATGTTCCAATGTTTACAATTACAAACTAGCAAATTGTTCCTAGTTCTGAGGGTATCATCAAAGTTCACACCACAAGTTTTTTTGTATGTATCTTGACTGCTATAAAAGTAAGTGTTTGTATCACTGCCTAAATTGTTTAATAAAAGCCTTCATGGAGGCCACATGGCATCCACATTGATAGACAATAGCAGATATCAATTCCTCTATAACTCACACTCTTGAGTCATGTTTGTATATCCATACATTATTCATAGGAAATGAGGGAAGAACTGAGTGCTGGATATGCACTTAATTGTACCTAAATATTTTTTAAACTCGGAAGGGGCAAACCTCAAGTTTCTTTAAAATGAAAAAGATGCAATTGCCCCTGGACTGAATAGCAGAAGTTCAATTCCAACAGCCGAAAATTTTTAAATGAAAAAAGAGATAGAGACGTATTTAATGCCACCAGGCCGTAAAAGCATGAGAAAAGATGATGTTTTGTTAATTCACCACTAAAATTAACAGTTTTCACCAACATCCTATTTTCGAACCTATTTGCATGGATACAGATATGCGTGTCAATGTAGGACACTTGTATGGGTATCAAGTTCTCCTTTTCTCAATTCACAAAAAAATATATTGTCAAGTGCTTGTTAATGAATGCATAGCCAGAATTAACAAATAGTAATTCTATTTATTTGATTGATTATTTTCGCATTTACAACAAAAAAAGAAATAAGATGGTGCTTGGTAATGCTATTTTTCAGAAAATTTAGAGTGTTGGAAAGAGAGAGGAATTAGTAACATTTGGGGTTTATACTATTTCCAAAACTGTAGCAAGAGAGATAGAGAGAGGAACTTGAAGAATCCAGAAATGTAGAGAGATTCTTTCCAGTATTCTTGAACTTGAAGAATCCGAAGAGTCCTTACCAGTATGCATGTCAATAAGCATCTGACACGAGTACGGGACCCTTGTCGAAGAATCCATGCAACATAGGTTAGAACATTACCATGAAAGTGTCTTTATTACGGTACAATAGAAATTTATTAGGCAATAATTCCAATGTAGCCTTTTTTATATGAGAACAATTCTGCAACAGCTCGTGAAGGTAGGCGAAGGGATGTCTGACCCCCCACCCCTTCCCTTCTCCTCTTCTTCTTCCCTTCCACCATTCTCAGCCCCCACTCTTTTTCCTTTCCATCCTCCTCCTCTCCTTCTGTCCTACACCATCCCCACACCCCCCCACAACAATCCCTCGTCTCCACTGGTCTACCTCGCCCCTAACCTCCTGGCAAGAGTACCCAACCTCCTTTGCATCCCCAGCTTAAACACTTCACATCTCTCCCAATCACACCAACATTCTTCGATCGTTAATTTCCACACACCCAAAGGCGACATGAGGGGCATTGAAAAATGGGGACAAGGCTTGTTGGGAGAATTAGACCTTTGCTTTCGCCAACATTCTGGTGACCTCATCCTATTCTCCTTCCCCTCCGAATTATCAGCTTCGAGAGCCTTACAATGGCCCTCCCCCAGCTTTAAAGAAGCTTCTCTCTTTATCCAAATGGAGCAAAGCCTTAGGTGCCCACACTAAGCAAAAGGCATGGCTTAGAGTCTTCAGCATTCCCCTCCATGCATAGCACCTGGACATCTTCAAATCCATCGAGGATGCTTATGGAGGTTTCATCTCTGTGTGTTGGAGGCCTTCCTCTCAATCCTCCCACAATCTGGTTAGAAATTGATGGTTTGTACTACAATGTACGGCTGGTCTAGGTTTTGGCTTTCTCCGCCCTTGCCGTGCCACTTCCTAACTGAACCAGCAACCCACCATTCGCCCCTTAGGGCCCCCCATAACGATTGGACGACAGCCTCCTATGGATGTCGTGGAAAGCTCCATAGCAGCCATCCCAGCCATCCAAGGTTGCAACCCTCAAGTCTACCTTCGCCCCAGGTGCACCCCAATGCACCGTCAACTATGCTCCAATCTTCTCCCGCAATCCATCCCTTGATCGACCCTTCCTCTTCCCTTCCACACATGCTACTCTCACAGCCGTCCTCCGCACATTTCAAATCTCCCGTCCTCCCCGGAATAGATCCTTCACGTGCCTTCTCCCCCTTTAGACTGCTAAGTGGCCCCCCTCGTACACCTCATGATGATGCCATTGAGGGACCGTATTCCCTCACCGCCCTCCCCATGTCAAACGAGGCAGTTTTGAAATCCTCCCCATTGTCTGATGACGGTCGATGGGACACCGCCCACCATCGTTGTCCACTTGGCCCCTCCATGCCATCTAAAAGGACCCTGCCAACTTGTTGTTTCCCTATCCCCATGAGCCTTTTCAACAGCCCTCTCCCCACTCCCTAGTCGTTCTCGCTTCATCTCCATCTCCCTCTCTTCCACCTCTCCTTCTCCCCCCACCTTCAGTTCCTAACTTAGCCTCTACTGAACACCCTTCACCATAGCGACTCCCCTGTGTAGTTGACTCAGAGCCACTGGTGCTTTTGTCCTCTCCCAAGGTGGGCCTCTCCTTCATTCCCTACCTCCACCCCCCTGCCCTGTCAATCCCTTTGCCCCCCCCCTTCTTTGGGCGACCCTCCCGCTGACCCTCTTCACGTAGAAGCCCACTGGTCGGCACCAGCGACCCACTAAGTGAAGAACATCGCTCAGCTCCACCAGCCCTCCTCCATTAAGACTCCTTCCCCTCTTAGATAAGTTGTGCATCCTCTCTCCCGCCCATCTTGGCCCCACCCCCTGGCCTCCCCACTATCGCTCATCTCATGGCTTTCTCCTCCTCCCTCTCTTCGATTGAACCTCCTTCATCTCTACCCCCTGCGACTTCACCTTTGCCAGCAGCGCCCATCCCCTACCTCTCCACCCACTTCTACCACCCGACAGCACTGGAACCCCAATCGTATTCCTACCCCTCGTCTTATCCTTATCCCTCGACTTTCCCCTTTCCACTGTCTTCTTCTATCACCATTCGCTCAAGCAACTTCCACATGCTCCCTCCCTCGCTCCCCTCTACCACTTGCAATCCCCTCACCTCCCACCCTTCTCCATCCTTCCCCCACCCCCCTCTCCAGCGAGCCTTCCCCTCTACGGTGGGCTTATTA